TACAATAATGAATATATAATAACTACTAATAATATAATATACTATGCTATGCTAAAAATCTACTTTGTAACAATATATTAGTATATTTTATACACTTTGGATATGCACTTTTGTCAATTAAAAATGGTTTAAATTTTTGAGTTTCTGATGCATTATAGCAAAGAAGTATAGTAAGACGTGACTTGTCTTTTTTATATCCTTTAGCAGTATCACTTTTAGATGCAAGTTTTTTATTTAGTCCAAGACAAAAATAAAGGCCTGTCTCATCAGCATTAAGAATATTATCAGGATGACAATTATTAAGTAATTCTTGAAAATGACATTGTCTACTTTCAATTGCAGCTTTATCAGCTGATTCACTTTCTCCAGATATGGTCTTTGAACTAATACCAAATCTTCATTGAAATTCAGATACCCAACTATTAGATGCCTCAAATGTAGTTAGAAATTCCATACCACTATTTTTTAATTGTTCATATATTGAAAGTGTTTTTGTTTTAAGCATATCCTGTGAAACAGGAACATTATGAGAACATAGTTTTAAAAATAACTTATAAACAGCCTTATCAATAATATAAAACTGTTCATTTTGTAAGTGAACATATTGTTATATATGAGCAGATGTAGTATTATATAACTGAAGAAGATTATTTTTATCTTGCAAAATATTGCTTATTGTAGATCTATTAATATTATATTCTTTGGCCAAATCTGTATGAGTTAAGTTCTTATTTTCTTCTTTCCTTTTAATAATCTCAACTTTCTTCTCTAAAGTAATAACAGATCTTTCTTTTCACTTTTTACTAAACTCTGCAACAGATATTTGTAATAAGATTAAGTAATACTAATAGATGAGCCTAAAATTTTTTTTTTGTATTTTTTTTTTAGCATAAGATTCTAAGATACTTATATGTATTATGTAATTATTCAATAATTAATATGAATTAAGAATGTTATAAAACAAAACAGGATTATTTTTTTTTATAGAAAATAATTAACTGTCATATAAGGTTTGGATAATATATAAAACTAACACTTTCTTGATTTTTTTTTTTTTGTTTTGTTATGTATATCAGGCACAGTATATAATTTTATATAACTAAAACCAAAACTTGTTAAAAGGTATGTAGTTATATTGTTTGTGTTTGTAACCAAAAGATTTCTAG